AGAGAGAGAGAGAGAGAGAGAAAGAAAAAGTTTTATTAAGAGCAGGGATGTGCACTCACCCTCAGAGCCCCAGGCGAAGTTCCCGCTGTCCAGTCTCAGCGCGCGGTATTTCTTATTGCCTCCCCTCACGCGCACTGTGTGAATACGACAGGGGCCGATCTAAAAAGTTTACAAATAATTATTAAAATTATTTATTTTTATGTACATTATTTGTTATTATACATTTTTATGTATTCGTTATGTAGTTTTATGCATTTAACAGCATATTGCATATTAAACCACTTGCAATGTAGACTGCGTCTCTCAGTCATTAAATCAAATCCATATGAAATGACGCACATAGCCTGATGCTTATGTTGGACGATGATCTTTGATGCTCGTCAACTAAAGTATCGCACCTTTGTGTTGGCAGGAGGGCGACCCAGTTCATACTTTCTTTTCTTATGGTAGGGCTTTCTTTTCCCTCCGGTTTTACGACGCTTGTGCCAGTGATCCCTGGAGATACCTGAAGAGAACAGAGATGACAAAAACAAACAAATGAATTGACATAATATCGAAATTACATGCACCAAAGTTAAATGTTATTACTTTTAATGCCTAAAAAAGTTATGTTCTGCTGTATTTGCAGCTGAATTAACTGCGCACGAACAGTAAACTTCAATGCACTTGCGCAGCTTGATTTGAGTATTGTTTGTAGTGCAAAACTGAAACTAGAAGAGCTACAGACTACAGCGATACATGCCATCTCTTAGCTGTTTATTCACATATCAAACCTAATACATATTATGTCCATACTGTGATTGTAAATTTAGGATTTATAAAGTATTGACAAGGCTGAAGAAAGACCTGCGTAATTGAGGTTATTCACTCCGTATTTCGAAATACTCACCCATGGGCCTTTTTCACGGACGCTGGACTGCACCCAGGTTTCATAACTCACATTTCACATTTAAAAGTCACACTGGGGCCGACAAAACAGACAAATTAATCTGAAATTTAAACAAATAGACCAAAAGATAAATTTGCTA